AAATTCAAAACCCTTCAACAGTAGTCTGTAGCATTTATGACTAGTAGGCACTGACATCCTTACATCCTCCACCATGAATTAGTTTAATCTATTTTAAAATCATTTATATATTAATACTCTCTAATGAATTCATTGCAGTCTGCCAGATGTTAGTGCTCGGTAGTCTTCCAGATCAAAGCAATAGATTGTAAGCTTCAGTACAACCTGCCAACAAGTATAAACCATCCCAAATGACAATGAAAGAAGGATTAAATCCAACAGCTCTGGATACCTGAATAATACAATACATCTTCACACTTTGCATTTCTTTTGGCTCTCTTTCTACCAATGTCAGAAACTGGAGGCATTAGGAAAGATGGGGAGCACTTTGCTTTCTATGCCTAAGCCGAAAGAAAGTCCCAAAGTATGATTAACCTCAGCCAAATTTCATTCATTCGTTCGTTGGTTCGTTCGTTCGTTCGTTCTTCATTCATTCACCATCCATCCATCCATCCATTCATTTGTTCGTTCATTCGGTCATTCGTTCATTCGGTCGGTCGTTCATTCATTCATTCGTTCATTCATTTGTTCATTCATTCATTCATATATAGCTCACATTGTGCCTTCATAGAACCCAAATTAACTTAACAATCTACATTTAAAAAGCAAGTTCTGCTTAAAAAAAAGCCCTACACACAGCTGTAAACAATCTACATTTAAAAAGCAAGTTCTGCTAAGAAAAAAGCCCTACACACAACAGCCTGTTGCTTAGTGTAGTAAAGTGCACAACCGTAGGCCGATTGAATCAATGGAGATTTGGTGACTCAAATCCTCCAAGAGTTCAATCGATTCAAATGGGCCTGCTGTAGTTGCCACTTACTTCAGCGTAGTACGTCACAGTTAAGAGTAGGCTAATTTGAATCAAAAGAACTAATGGGGTGTTGACTCACAACATCCTCACTTATTCAACAGGCATACTCTTAATGTGACTGTGCTAGGCCATAGGATTTGGGCTAATAAATTACAATATTAAAGCAGTATAAGTAAATTATCAGAGTAAAACAAAGGCACAACTAATCTAGTTTAAAAACAGTTTAAATCATTTGAGAACAGAATCAAAGCATTATTATTTGTTTTGCTCCTGTTCTTGAATTATTTAAACTGGTTTAAGCTGTACTTGTGTATTTGTTTTAATCAGATAATTTACTTAACATGTCATCAAGTTGATCTCAATTTATCACATTTCTTTCCAGGGTTTTCTCAGTCTAGAGAATTCACCAGTGGTTTACAAGTTTCTCATGCTCTGGGACTGGGAAGCTTATTAAAGTCTAAATAGTCTGGTTCTGCTAGCATGAAACTCGAACTCCTGACCATGGGTTCTTCAGTTAGGTACCCAACTCACTGAGCTATCTAGTCAGGCAGCAAAATGAAATCTGCCATTAAACAGTCCTTATCAGTGACAAAGGACTGTCTAAATAAAACTGTCTTCCCCAGCCAGTGGAAAGATAGCAAGGAAGAGACCACCCTGGCCTTCTTCAGAAGGGATTTCCATAGCCTGGAAGCAGATGCTAAGAAACCCCTGTCTCTTGTCTTTGGAAACTGTGCCTGTGAGGGGTGGAAAGAGAGAAAGGCTTGTCCTGCAGATCTTAAGATTCAGGCAGGCTTGTACAGGGAGAAGCAGCCCTTCAGATAGCTTGGACCCAAGCCAACTCGAACTTCATTGGTCATGGCCACTATTTTGAATTGTGCCCAGAAATTATTATGAACAGTTCTTAAGCCAGACTCCTCCATGCTAATAACCTTCAATGTGTTGGACTATGATTCCCATCAATCCTCATCTATGCTGGGTGGGAATGCTGGAACTTGTAGTCTAACACATCTGGAGAATGACAGCAGGAAGGTCCTGCCAAAACATAAACTGGATTAATGCCTGTTTCCTCCATGGCTGGATGTATAGGGTTTTTTTCCTCCAAGTGTTTAGAAATGATGTGACTTGTTGCATTAACCATTTTGTTTTGTGGTTTTAATACATATGGCTTTTCTTTGGGTTAAATAAGGATTAATACAAGAATTAGGATTAATCAGAGAGTTAGGAAAGTCCTGCCAAAATATCCCAACAATGCACGGAAATGCTATTAAACATTTCTGTCATATTATTTTGATGTGTTATTTTTGAAATGTGGCTTCTTTTAGTTCATCTCAATAGTGCATGTGACAATACTGCATCACTAGATGAACATGCAAATTAATGGTTACATTTGGCTGGCAACATGGTATGATCAGCTTCAAGGGAACTCCCCCCCCGCAACAGTCTTCCAAATGAACTAATTACTGTGGAAAAGGTCTGAAAAGACAGCGCTCTAATCCAAGAGCGTCAAATCTTGACTCTGCCTCATCAGTACCAGAATGCTTTGGACCATCCGTTGTTTTCTCTTGCTCTTTACCTCCATCAATAAAATGTTGGGGGCCTGAAACTATGCCTCCTAGGAACACTATCAGTGAAGGCTGAAAGAACTGGGCATGTCTAGCCTTGAGAAAAGACAACTGAGGGGAGATATATGAGGATGTGCTGATAAGTATTGAGCCTTTCCCAGAAAAAATTGAGCTAGGAAGCTGTAACTGCCACACTATTCTATATACTCCCCCAGGAAGTCAATGCACTTGTGACATCTCTCCTGCAGCTTCTTAAGTCCCTGCAAATAAAATTCTTCCAACTGCTGATGTAACCACTCATTTGCAGCATTAGTTGCCACCAGAACACTCCCAAATTGTTGTCCTCTTAGGTGTTTTTTGAGTTTGGGGAACAAATAATAGTCAGAAGGAGCCAGGTCGGGAGAACAGGGTGGATGGGGCATCACTTGAAAGCCTAAGGACGTCAGTTTTGCTATTGTTTCACCTGTAATGTGTGACGAGGCATTGTCATGCAACAGGATGACACCTTTGGAGAGCTTTCCTCGACTTTTTCCTTGACGTTTTGCCTCAACTTCATCAATAAAGCACAGTAATATTTTGCATTGATGGTTGAACCCTGTTGGAGGTAGTCCACCATCAGAACTCCCTTCTTATCCCAAAAAACTGTTGTCATTTGCTTCTGTACCAACCTTTGCACTCGGAACTTCTTTGGCCTCCATTCCTTAGACTGTTCCTTTGTCTCAGGATCATAACAGTAGATCCATGTCACATCACCAGTTACCAGTTTGGCCAGGAAATCTGACTCATTTCTTGCAAAACGTTCCAAAACAGCCACCGATGACTCCACACATTTCCTCTTTTGTTTGGTTGTCAAAAGTTTGGGGATCCACTTTACTGCCAGTTTTCTCATTTCCAAGTCATTGTGGATAATGGCACCAACTCTCTCACATGATATTCTCAGATATATAGTAATACTTTTGGCTAATATTCAGCGGTCCTCCATGATCATGTCATGGAAGGCTTTCACATTTGCAGGCACAGAGACAGAAACAGGCCTTCCACTGGGTTTCTCATTTTCAACACTGAAATGGCCAGTTTTAAAATTGACAACCCAACATTTAACTGTTGCATATGAAGGGCCACTGTCACCCATGGTTTGTGACATTTCATCATGGATCTGCTTTGCACCTTTCCCTTGGAGAAACAGGAACTTGATTATGGTCCTGTGCTCTTCCACATTGAACTTTTCTGGAGGTGCTGCCATGTTCGCTTTGGACCTGATCATGAAAGATAAGTTAAAATCATAGGTAGCTGATTTTTGCACCATTGAATACAGACAAATTGGCCAATATATCCTGTAATTTCTAGCTTCCTAGCTCAATGTTTTTTGGGAAAGGCTCAATACTCATCAACACCCCCGCGTAGTAGCACTTTTCAAATTACTGAAAGACAGTCATACAGAGAAGGAGCAGGATCTGTTCTTGATCATCCCAGAGTGCAGGACATGCATGCATGGGCTCAAGCTGCAAGAAGCCAGACATAGGCTTGATATCAGGAAAAACTTCATAACTGTTAGAGCAGTATGACAATGGAATCAATTACCTTGGGAGGTGGTGAGTGCTCCAATACTGGAGGCATTCAAGGGAAAATTGGATCTGTCAGATTTCCTTTGATTTTGATTCTTGCATTGAGCAGGGGGTTGGACTTGATGGCCCTATAGACCCCTTCCAGTTCCATTATTCTGTGACTTATGAATGCATCCAAGATGTCTTCAGCATGAGTAGGCACCAAACATAGGCAATAGTGGACATTTCAAGCAAAGATGCATCTTGGTCACAGACAAAATGATAGGCAGAGCCAAGTAATTTGGGTTTTGTCCCCATCCTCCTCGTTAATTACCATTACAACACTTAATCAGAGAGTGGACTGTGGCAGAAGCTAGATGGGGAAAAACAGAGAAACACGGTCGGCAAAAAGGATCCGGTGTGGACATTGTGAATAACAGGCACAGACAGGCACAACTGTAAGCATAGAGCCAGCCTGATTCAACAATAAAATTCTATGGTCTCTCCTTTTCTGGTCAAATTCTCATCTGCCACAGATATATACAGTAATAATAATTGTTTACAAAGGTGTTGTAAGGATCACAGAGGCGACCTACATCAAATTTATTTTCCGCCACTCTAAAAGGTGCCATGCTATCACTAAGTATAGTATTTAACACAAACCATATTATTTCGGTCTGGAGAATCCCATATAGTTTTCTATGAAGGGGCCTCAGTGCCATCATGCCGACGTCATCACCCATATCCCCAGGATTAGGGGGAGCAAAAATAATCCTCTTCCATTGGGAGCAGGTCTCAACCCCCCCCCCCAAGACCCCATTCCCTGCTGAGATGACAAGCTGGCTTTAAAGAGCCAGGCTTCCCTTTATTGCTTCCCCTATCAGATTACAGACAAGACTGTGGGGTGCGGGGTGGGGAGGGGGAGGGCGACTATTTTTAGAAGCCTACTTTCTAAAAATAGTCCGGAGATGTGTAGAATTGCGTCACAAGAGGTAATTTTATCCCCATTTGGCCCGGCGGCCCCTTTCTCCCCCTTCCTCTCCAGGAGGGGTGAATACAAAAGGAGGGAGAGGCTGAGGACGCCCGGGTCGACCGGCAAGTTCAGACTCGGCCAGAGAGAGAGAAGGAGGAGGTAAGAAATCATCAAGAGGTGATGGGAGTGTGTGGAGGTCTCATATCTCATTATCAGATTGTCCTCTCCTATTATTATTATTGCTGTTCCTCTCAACCCAAAATTAATCTCAACCGGACTAGACCCATTGAAATCAACGGGACTCTCCAGGTTGTTGACTAAGAGCCTCCCCCCCCCACTCATTTTGATGGGTCTCTTCTAGCTGGGGTTAAAATCGGATTTAACCTATGACCGCTGTTGCTGTTATTTGCAAAGAAGGCGGCACATCCAGCTGTTCCGCAACAGCGCTACTATCCTGCTGGTTTCAGCTGATGGTTACACCAATTCCATGTATTGCCTGGCTCTGTCGCGAACCTGTAACTCGACATCAACTGAGCTCTAGCAGTACCACCCAGTGGCCGGTGAGGGTTACTGGAGGGCAGAGATATCCGATTAAAAAAAAAAGTGAAAACAAGAGACGAAAACCTAACTGCTGTGTTTTAATGCGAGCTTTCATGGGTCAAGCGTACTCCTTCACACGCGTTAAGAGTGAGGCTGTAGGACTGCCCTATTTATTCATGGCCCCATAACTAGGTGGGGGTAAAGATAATGGACAAAGTGGGGATGGTTCCTTAGTAAAAAAAAAATACTATCAGGCTGTGAACAATGTCAATTATCAGTCTAAAAGGTAACCATAGTATCATTGATGCAAGTGGCAAACTGAATTACTGTTCCATTTCATATTTGTTAAAGACTTAAGAACCCTTGATAGATATTCAGTCTTAGCTGGGTTTGGTTGCGATCTGCAGTCCAAAGCTACAGGATTTCCCCCTAGAAGTTGGGTTATGCTTACTTTTAATGCCTTTTAATAAGGAGGCTAGAGTATCTTTGGATTTTGCATCTTTTCCCCAGATAACTCCTTCCCCATTTCAGATGTTTAAGGCTGTGTGCACTTTACTCAATGTACTCTGTGCATGCTCAAGGGAGCTCTTTATGATCATACATTCCTAGATTCACCTCTGGGACTGAAACTGAGGCATGGCAGAAATTACGACAGTTTTCAGAAAAGCTATTTTTGGACTATAACTCACAGAATCCCCTAGAGTCTAGATTCTGGAACTCCCACAGACTAACTTCTAATTCAGACTCCCATCTCTGACTCAAACTGGATAACTGACTAACTCATTCCCAAAATTCATCTTCTCTGTCTCACCCCTCCCCTCTGGTTTCTCTGTCTCCACCTCCCAACAGCTCCCATTGGTACATGCAAATAATCTCCTACATGAGCCAAAGTAGGAAGATGGCCACAGATATATTTTAAAAAGGATAGAAAACAAATCTTCACTCACTTAAGCTGTAAAATTACTGTTTTTTGCTTTATAGCTGGGGACAGTCTTACTTGATGTTAGCAGAGCTTTGGTACCTGTCATAGTTTCAATCATTCCACCTTTTTCATCACTATAACATTGTCTGATAATTAAGAAAAAGACTTCAGGGTTTTTAGGTGCCATTAAGTTACTTTTGGTGTGTAGTGACTATATAATGATCTCCAAAGTGTTGTATCTTTAACAGCTTTGCTCAGATTGTGCAAACCAAAAACATCTCATTCTCTTCTCCTACTGCTTCCCTTTCTAGCAATATTGTCTTTTCCATTAAGTTCTGCTCAGTTCTTGCAAATTAATAGCTGTGTCTTCCTTTATTGAGACAATCTGCTTTATACTAGGTCTTCCTCTCTTCCTATTTCCCCCCACTTTCCCAGCAATATTGTCTTTTCAGTATGATGAAATATATAAACCCCTTCCTTAGAAAAGTGTGCATAAGCATGCTGGGGAAAAAAACTACCATGCACCCATTAAGATTACTGACAGACTTCAGGAAGCCCATGGAATAAAGACTAAGCGTCCCTGATTTAAGAGAACTTCTCTGGACCCAGACATTCTCATTGCTATCATGTCAGACAGACCAAGTTGTGTCAAACACACCTCCCTTAAAATTACTGCCTAGCCTATATCCAAAATGAAAAGCATGAAGTAATTGATTCTCTTAAGATAATAATAACCTTTGAACTGCAGAGTTGGAAGGGACCCTATAGATCACTGAGTCCAGCCCCTATCAAGGAGGCACAGTGGGGAATGGAACTTCGAACATCTGCCTCCACAGCTAGATACTTAAACCACTGAGTCATCTAGCAGTGTATGCCTTCTTTTAAAGATCTCTGTTTCCGCACCACACAAAGTCCCTTATTTCTGGCTGCCAATCCCCATATATATGTTCCTATATATTTGAAACCCAGGAACTTTCCCCATGATTCAAGGTTCTCAAGAGCAAATAGGACTGGCCTCTAAAAGATTGATGTTGGCTACTGAAAATTTGATGATGGCTACTGAAAGTTTAATGCTGTGATCATGCCCAGGCAGAGTTTGCAATGGAAATTTTACTTCAAATTGATAACAGAAACAGTGGTTACGAAAAGCTTGTCAATCATTGTTGAAGAATCTGGAGCACGTAGGCAGGCAAATGACCCTATCGACACATTACTAATTAGTTTCAGTTGTTAGCTGAGCTTCTGGTTATTTATCTGAGGTTTTAGATTTAATTTGTGTTACTATACTATTGAACTGTATATGGAAGAGTTTGTGATTTATTATTCTATTATAGACTGCGTTATTTTCCTGTGTTTCTTCGTACTCCATTTTTAGATTCATTTTGTGGATACTCAGTTCTATTAATTAATTAATTAACTGACTGAGTGAATCAAAATAATAAGCAACCAAGGACAGACCAGAAGTGACACTAAATACATTCACTGAATCCTATGTGTTTCTTCATAATTAACAGTGGAAATTGCAAGACAGACCAGCGTCCTCTGGTTGAGCTCCTCTGGTGTAGAACAAGAGTTTGTTCTTTAATTTCAGGATATTGTAGTGAGACAAAGTCTCAGGCAAGGGAATTCTTCAATTAGCAGCAATTGTCGGCTGCTGGTGGCATCATTTCTGCTGTGGTATCAGAGCTCCACAAGGCGATACAGGCCAAAAGGTTACAGCATAGAAGATTCCTGTTCCACGTTCTACTCATCCAGCCACGCTCTTTTCGAAAAAGTGCCTTTCCATCACCATCAGCACCATTTTCCAGTTCTGCCCACCCCAACTGTGCTTACCCAGCATGCTCAGATCCTTCCTCCTCAGACAATTTTAGGTTTTCCCCTCAAATTCTCCCTTTAAAGATTATTTTTTATGTCTACGAACCTTGAGCTCGCCGGTCCTGGTGCTACTTCCCTTTCCTGTGTGGATGGCACCGTTTCAGCTGAAAAGCACCCAGGCTCACACAATGAATTTGATACTGGTATTTACAATGCAAAGTTTAAAAATAATCCTTTTTTTTTTTTTTGGACGACAGTTTCCAGAATACCCCAGTCAGAATGATCCTTAACTATGTTTGCTAAGAGATTCTGGGAACTGTCGTCCAAAAAAAGTAACTTTTTAAAGCACTGCTATGAATGGCCACTATGGAATGGACTTTTCGATTGCACTTGTGTGTGTGTGTGTGTGTGTGTGTGTGTGTGTGTGTGTGTGTGTGTGTGGTGCACGTGTGCATGCGTGTGCGCTCGCATATGTACATTCTGCTAATCTACTTGTGTGTGTGTGTGTGTGTGTGTTGCACGTCTGCGTGTGTGCGCGCATATGTACATTCTGCTAATCTACCTCCCCTCAGCTGCCATGATTTGAGAAAAACTGCATGCCTGAGGCTATTATTAACCACAGAAAGCAAACACTCATTAACATTAATGAGAGTTTCAACTCAATAGTTTTACATTCCCTTTAAATGCCTAAATCCAGCCACGTCCATTGTGGGTAATTTTGTTTTAATGTTCAGATAACAAGAATATATCTATGGGCAAATTAGATGTTATGCGGCTATTTCAGGATAAAACTCTCTACATCCTTTTTTCCTTCTCGAAAAGCAAAGGCATGGAGGTCTCATTTGGATCACATCCGTGGCACCTTTTCCCTGGATCACAGTCTGATTCCCAGCAGCTTGCTGGAAGGCATTGAAGAAGCACTCTGGTCATAATAACATTTATGTATTTATAATTTATTTAAAATATTTTTATCCCAGCCTTCTTCTTAAAAAGAACCCAAGGTGACTTCCATCATTAAAAAGACAATATGTGTAAGCTAAAAACAGTAGGTATCCAAATATTGAAAAATAATTAAAACAAGTATTACATTAAAAGCTATAATAAAATCACATTTAAAGCAACATGCACAACCAGCCATCTGAAAACCCCTCTCAGACCACCAGTTATTAAGGGAAAGCCTGCCCAAAATGCCTTTAACTCTGTTTCTGTTCTCCTCGCCAAAGGCGCTTCCAGAGAAAACCTTTACAATCACTCAGAGTTTAGAAGTTACTGTTTAGTCACCTGTAACTAATTGTTTAGGGTAATGAACACTGTCACAAGTAGTTGGAAAGCTGTCATTAGCTGTGATGAGTATCACCTTACTAACCTATTTGGAGGGCTTTCTCATTTGTTTATGGGAGGAGCCTTGAAAACACTCAAATGGCTTTGTAAAAATGTCGCCATCTCCTACAAGCTGCTCCTTCTCAGCATTCCAAAGAGGATATGCCATCACAAAGGGGATTTAAAATATTATTCCGGTGCTGAACATCACAGCAGCCTCAGCCTGGTTCATTTGTCTTAATGTTTTCATTCCTTTGCAGAATCATGACCATTTTATGTGAAAACTGCAGCAAGCCAGTCAGGAGGACAGAGAGCTGCAGCTCTAAATGTCCTGCTGCCACATCTCTCTCCAGGCATGAACTCAGGACCACAAAACCTTTCAGGTGAGAGATACTTCCTAGCCCATATGCCCATCCTCCTTGTGTGGTCCATATGGAAAGATGTGTTTCACAGAATCATCCCTAGATGCTAGTTCCAATTTACCCTTCTTAGGACAAAACTTCATTTGCAGCTTTTGCATCAGCTTAACAAGATCAAGCTATAAGGATTATGTTTCGCCTTGTTGTTATGTGCTGGCAAGTCGCTTCCAACTTACGATGACCCTGTGAACTGGTATATAGATATTTCATTATCTCAGCTAAAAACCCCACACCTCCTCCTTAGCCAATTGCTAGCTGCAATTCTAACAAACTAGTTTCCCTCCCTAGTTTATGCTCAGGAACATAAATGAGGAACCCTGATGAATCAGATCGGAGGCTACCCAGTCTAACGTCCTTGTGGCGATCCCCTCTGAAGCCCCTATTCCCTCAGGTCTTCATGAGGTCCTCAGTCTTCTTCTTTCTTCGCTGCCACCAGGTATTGCTGCTTCAATACCATTCAATCAAGGAGACACATGTGCTTTTAAAACTTAAGTTATTTATTAGATCAGGGAAGTTCATATAGGATTATTACAGTGGACCCTCTACTTACGGAATTAATCCGTATTGGAACGGTGGCTGCAAGTCGAAAAGTCTGTAGGTCGAATCTCCATTGACCTACAATGCATTGAAAATCGATTAATCCCATAACTGGCGGTTTTCATTCTATTTTTGTTCCATTTTGGTTTTTTTCTGGTCTGTAAGTCGATTCTCCGGCTGCAAGTCGAATCTAAATTTTGCAGCCAGAGAAGTCTGTAACTCAAAGTCTGTAAGTCGAGCCGTCTGTAAGTCGAAGGTCCACTGTACTCAATAGGTAAATCACAGGTTGCTAATCACTTGTATCTAAGTAAATTGTACTTTAACTTTAAAACTCTGTCAACTCTCTGTTCCATTCCGTGTTCTTACAGGCCTCTAACTCACTCTAAGTTTTAAGTTCCACACTGTCTCTTACTCACAGAATCTCTCCTCATACTCCATACACCAGCCTTTATATCCAGCCCCTCCCCCCTTGGCTCCACCTTCCATCCTCTCATTGGCTCCTACTCCACTGTTCTTCTGTGATGGACAGGTGAGGGCGGGGCTGTTCGCTACAGTCCTGTTTTCCACTTTGGTCATCCAGAGGCAGTTCCTGGAAGGTAAGTGCTCCAGTAGCAGATGCTAGCAGGGTCAGAATACTTTTGGCAACCTGGTGGGCATGGTTGACCCAAATCATCCTCTGATCTCTGAGATATATTCCCTGGGACCATAAAACAACAGTTCAAAAGAGGCATTCCATCCTCGGTGAGAGAGAATGCCTCTTCTCAGATGAAAATGAAAAATAGGTCACTGCATGCATATATCATCTAAAAAATAATTAGATTTTTCCCCCTTTAGAATCTGTTTTTAAGGAGAGTCATTTGCAGATTGAATAGTACAGCCAATTACTAGAGCAATTTGTTGATTAAGAGAGATGGCTATGATTTGTGCATGTACACATACATACTGGCCATGTACCTGGTCTAGTGTTCTGACCCCTTGCTCTTGCTTCACAGTTACTTTCACAAAACAATGGGCATCCCATCTGGACCTATTCCTTGACTATCTCTTTCTTCGTCTATCATCAGATTTTATACCATCTCTGTCTGGAAAGGAGTTCTGGAAAACCTCCTTGCTTATACTTTTGTTAGGGATCTAATGAAAGTATCACAAAACGCAGAACTCTGTTGATACAGAAGGATCACACGGTCGCTTTCCTTTGGAGTTAGAAATGTCATGATTAGTCACCTGGGGCCAATTCCACGACCATTAGAGGAAGCCTTACCATGAATCTATAATCCACCTCCTTTAACCATTAGATATTATGATCAATTTGGCTTAAATTGACTTTTTAATCTAATTCGATCTCCTGTTTTGCTGACATAAAGACTGTTGTCTCACTCCGTGAATGACTGCCCCAAGTCGCGAAAGGAGTCTGTGTACCTGTCCAGGGCAAAGAATAAACTCACAGGAGGCCCAGTTAGGATGATTTTGTCTTCACAGAGGGAAGTAGTAGCTTCAGAGCAAACATCCTTTATGCTGGAACAGTCTATTGCTTCCAAGCCAACATTTTTTCTGCTATGGCTTACTGAGGGTATAATATACAGATTTCTGCTCTGAACAGATTTTGATACCAGTAAGTAAACATTATAAGTTCACAGCCAAGCGTTTTAGGGTTAGCACAGCTGTTCTAAAGTGTCTGCAAAGCAATAGCTTCCTCTGTTGGGAGAGGAGATGTGCCAAACCCAGGATGCCAGGAACCAAGCAGAGAGCAAAGTGAAACAGTTCAGCCAGCCAGTGCCAACTCTGGCCTGACACCTGTGGCAGGGCATCAGCTGGCAGAGGCTGGCCTGGTATTGTGATCGGGGGTGAATCACTGAGATAACAAATGCTTGCCTGGCCAGACTCCAGGCTGTGCTATGAAGCTATCCATCCCTAGCTTGCAAATTAAAGGAGCACTTCAGGTAGAATCCTAATCTAGAAGCCGAGGAGCCTCTATTTCATGAACGCTGTGAAGAAGGGGCTAATAGGTCACCTGCTGGACATAGCTCTCTGAGAGGGGTAACTTAAATGTTACATGGGCCTTCCTGGAATCTAGGGCCAGCCCTACCACTAGGCAAAATGAGGCAGTCACACACACACACACACATACACACCAAGCTGCAGATGCTGTGTGCTATGTGGACTGCCTCATGCCAGCCTGAGGCTTTCAGGTACTATGAAGAGGTCATCCTATTGCTAATCCTAAAGAAACTCGGTTCAGTCACCTTCTGCGCTTCGTGCAGGAGGTAGCATTGCCACCTTGCCTCAGGCACCCAAATGTCTTGGGCCATCCTGCTGCGAAAATACACACAAACATTTGCAAGTAAAAACAGGACAGTGCCATGCAGGAATATAGAAATAGGAGCAGAAACACCGGGGGCTGCCTTACACCGAGATGAACCACTGGACCAATCCAGCTAAGTGACTAGGCACAGTGACTAGCCAGAGTTTTCCAAGGTTTCAGATGGGGGTGTGTGTCTTTCTCAGCTCTTTCTCTGACATGTTGTCGCAGGATGGAGTACAAATACCAAATATTTATTTCCCAGCATGTTTGAAATATTCTCCCTCAGTGGGAAAACTAGCCCACATATTACTCCCTCTCCAATTCTGATCCACCAGCATGGGATCTCTTAGTCCCCTGTGTTCACAGTGAACCACAGAATCTGCACACAACTGGACTTATGATGTAAGTGTTCTGTCCCTGGAACAGTTTACACACAATTTCCCCAAATTTTTGAAATGCTGGAAACTGTGAATGAGGATCTTACAAACAAAAATTAGGTAGGTTGTTTTAAAGTCTCCAAAAATCTAGTTATTTTTTCTGCACTAGGATATTATTTGCCCCAGGTAATGTGACATATTGGGATGGAAAATACAACATCACATGCCATTTTTTGGCAAAGCAGGATGCAGTGAAACAGAAGTGATACGGTGCTCTGTTTATCAGTAGGGTGGCACCATTTGGGGAAACGGAAATGTATTTCATTTTAGGGAGACATGGTGATTAGGATGTATTCTCTTTGAATGAAATCTCCTCTAGCCTATTCCAGAGTAAATATGCAATTTTGGTAGTCATGTGTTTATAAAGAATGAATTCAAAACCAAAATTTGTCATTTGTAAATTAATTGGCTTTATTCTGTCACTGGTCCATGGATTCGGCTGCAGGCAGGTTCTCGATTGACAGTTCAGACAAGGCAGTGAAAATATTTTTTAAATTTAATCTAAGTGATGCAGCACATCAGTGATGGTCTAAAGGAGTGAAAAGATTCACTTCCCTTGGCCCTCTGTTTGATTTGCCAATATCCCAAAATTATGAAATGGCTTAATCCTGTATCAAGCCACTTCGTACTTTTGGGAATTGACAGCATAAGGAGCTTGACCAAATAGGGTCATTTGAGGTTGGTATGTTGCTTTGATGCAATGTTCGCACCAAATGGCATATTGTATCTCCAATAGCAACCCTATTTAGACTGCCCCAGTCCGCCCCAAAAGGACCAATGTAGATGAGCCATCAATTAGCCATTGCTCATAGAGAGAGTTCATCAGCTGGGATTTTGCATCTCGGATGTGCATCGCCTTATATGTCCTTGCATTAAACTATATGTGTTGTTTTAATGCCCTTTCCCTCTAATTTAGAAAGATCCATCTGGACATTTTCAAATCCTTGTTTATTCTAACAACAATTTAGTGATATTAGCAATAAAGGGTGCAATCAGAGGGAGAAATAGCTCACGTTTCAGACTGTTTGTGGCACAGTCTGGTGTGAACTGTTTTCTGGTGATCACACAATACACAGGAGATTGTGAACCAGCCCAGCCCTCCTCCATGCTAGATCATTTTGGTCCAGCAACAGAGCTACCCTTTTTTGGGGGGGCAGGGCTGGATCAGTTCCTGTGGGGGTGGAAGGGTCACTTTAAGAAAGATCACTCCCGGTGAAACTGCCCTTTACAGTGCAATAAGACACAACTCTTTTTTTTTGGCTGTGTGATCACCTCCAAATGTGCCAGGTCAGAGGCATCCCATTTGCTCAGATATGAGGGCCAGAAGGCGAGACCTAGGGTGGGACCCAGGGCAAGTCCTTTTGATGTCACAGGAGCAGAGAACAGCCACAGAACTGCTGTTGGTTAATTGGTTGTGAAAATGGATGCAAAGGAAAATGGGATAAATGGACCTGTAAAAAGGTAAAGGTTCCCCTTGACATTTTTAGTCCAGTTGTGTCCGACTCTAGGGGGCAATGCTCATCCCATTTTCAAGCTTGTCCGAAGACAGTTTCCGTGGTCACGTGGCCAGCGTGACTAGGGAACACAGTTTTACCTTCCCACTGAGGTGGTACCTATTTATCTACTTGCATTTGCATGCTTTCGAACTGCTAGGTTGGCGAGGAGCTGGGACAAAGCGACAGAAGCTC